GTGGTAATGATAGTGATAGTGGTAGTGGTAGCGGTAGCAATAGTACTAGTAGCAGTAGTAGTGGTAGTACTAGTAGTAGTAGTAGTAGTAGTAGTAGTAGTAGTAGTAGTAGTAGTAGTAGTAGTAGTAGTGCAGTGCAGTGCAGTGCACTACTACTACTACTACTACTACTATTACCACCACTCTCACTAACATTCTGGCTTGTCGTCTTGAGAATAGTAGTACGAATGTTCTTAGTGCTCGCATTATCATGTATATCCGTTGTACTGTTGGCATGAATAATGTTAGTACTATTCGTCTTATAATGTTTTAGTCGTATTCGTATTATGTGGAGTATTATGATTAGTATTAGTAGTCGTAGTAGTAGTATGTCCCTTAGTGTTACCAGTACTCGAAGTATTGTTGTTATGTTCGTAGTGTTGTTCTTCGTGCTACTCATTTAATTAATCTTACGAATGATACCATTATCATCCATACTAGAACAAACGAATATTAGTATTAATAGTGAAATTGATACGACTAGCTGTATTACTACTATTATTATGGTTCCTCCTCCTCCTCCCGCGATGAGCGATCATCCGAGTGACATGGTGATTACGGCAGGCGCGTGTCGCGACCACCTGCCCGTCGGTTTCTGCCACCACGTGGACCCTCCGACCCTGAGCAAGCGCGGCCTTCCGATAGCGCAGATCGCGCGGTATCGGCAGATTCTGCGCCGCTGGCGGCGTTCAGCCCTGAACGCCCGCCCTGGGTTCGCAGCCGCGTCAGCACGGCGCGAACATGCGGTACTTCGGGAGCGCCGAAAAAGTAGGAGGAATCATCGGTCTGGAATCGAGGATGCGTCGAAGCCGCACGTTCTCGGCTAAGTGGGTACCCCAGCCCCGATGGGCGATGAATAGGCGATTCGGGATGTCTGCATTCCCCGCTGAGCCAATTCCCACCCTTCGGCGCTCCTGAACCAGCCTGGACACTGGACTGGGCGGGACAGAGCCTCGAACCAGGGAGCGTACGAGGAGGGCCGCAAAGAAGGGGCGTTGCTTTGCAGCTTCAAGAGTACATGAAACCAGCAATCAGGACGAACATGTAAGACCTGTATGCGAAGTGGCCCCTTGCGAGAGGGAGGCAAAGAAGAGGCGTGCGGGAGGAAAATACTTCCTCGGGAAATGCCTGGGTTCCACATTGAGGTGCCCACGAACTCGCCTCCGAAGCCAGTGCCTCTCGCGCCTGCTCCGCGACGCGCGAGCTTCTCGCCTGCTGCACAACTCGGAGCGGGCGACCTGTGCGAAGAAAACAGCCCCTGCGTAGTATGCTAAATTCCCAGGCGGGAGGGAGGAGGAGGGGGAAGGACAAGGGACACGTAAGAATCGGGGGAACTCGAATTTGTCTGACGGGGCCATCAGAAAAAAATGACGGGAACCAGCCTGGAACTCGACGCGAGCTGCCAGTCCCATCATCTCAGAAGAAATGGACCATCAGCATTCGCTCCAGGACAGTCGGAGAGCGGCGGCAAACCAAGTTCCGGCAAAACCGAGTCCGACGTTTCCCCGGCGGAGGGAGGAGCAGGAGGAGGAGGAGGAAGATGAGCGGGGGGAGGAGGAAGGAGGAGGAGGAGGACGAGGAGGAGGAGGAGGAGGATCAGGAGGAAGAGGAGGATCAGGAGGAAGAGGAGGAGGAAGAGGAGGAAAAGGCGGGAAAGGAGGAGAAGGCGAGTGGGGCGGGAGTTGCATGCTGGACATCTGGCCGCAGGGGGGCGGCGAAGGCTGTGCCGCGACAGGCCCGGCCTGGAGCCGAGGGCCCCCCTCGCACTCTTCTGCCATCGAGGCCGTCGCCGTCTTTGCCGACCTCTCTGTCGTCGTCGTCGTCGTCTCCGTCGTCGCCGAGTCGGCAGCAGCGTCGTCGTCGTCGTCGTCGCCGCCGTCGTCGTCGTCGTGGTCGTCGTCGTCGTCGTCGACACCGTCACCTCAGGAGCTGGAAGCATCCACATCTTCCGTTTCGCGACGCCCCCAGGAACGACCCAGAAAGGGGCAGAGGCTGATCATGTCCTGGCGGAGAGCTTCGGCGCGGCCGTTGAGAGCCATGTTTCGGTTCGCCCTCTCACTCGATCGTTCCTTGTCCTGCGCTTTTGGCTCATCCTCGCCCCAAGAAGGCGCGTCTCCTCTGGCGTCACACTTTCTGCGTGACGCAGACCCTCCTCGACCCCTTCCCCAGGGCCAGCTTTGCATCCTGAGTGATGGACGGAAAAAAGGGGCCGGGAAGCGGCTGCCAGAATCCGAAGACGCCCAAAAAGTGGACGTCGCGATTGCTGCTTGTCCTCCACCTCCTTCTCGTCCTCCCTCCTCCTCCTCCGCCTCCTCCTCCTTCATCCTCCCCTTTCTCCTCCTCCTTCTCCGCCTCCTCCTCCTCCTCCTCCTCCTCCTCCTCCTCCTCCTCCTCCTCCTCCTCCTCCGCCTCCGCCTCCTCCTCCTCCTTCATCCTCCTCCTCCTCCTCCTCCTCCTTATCCTCGTCCTACCTCCCCCGGATCGGGTGCGTTGAGAGGGGGGCCATGAAGAGGGTTATCGCATCATGGCCCGAGGCACGTGCGCGGACGAGGGCGGGGTCGGGGGACTTGCCAGAAGAAGAAGAAGAAGGAGAAGAAGACGCCATGCAATATGGCAGAATTCATGGCCCGACCATGACACTCAACCCCCACCCCATACCCCTCGTTTGGGATAAGTGGGTAGAAACATGAGGCAGGAAGGCGTTGAAAGTAGATTGGACTTCCACCTACCCCTGAAAAGAAAAGAAAAGAGAAAGCTTTTCGCCTCGTGAAATGTGAAGGCGCCTAAAGCAGATTGAAGCACAGAAACATTTACTTTCAATGAAGGATGGGTACTAGTCCTCACCCCCCTCTCATCGGCTACACGCAAGAGTGACCCTGCACAAAAGTGACCTTCGGTGCATGGCTTCAAGGAGGGAGGGTTTGGCAAACCCAAGCGCGCAAGCCGCTGCCATCGTGTCGCACTCAGCGATCGTTGGATCCCTATGGGCCCGCACCAGGTCACTTCGCCAGAGGGGCACCCTTACGCGTATGGAGGAACAAAAAAAGTATACGCATGATTTCTCGAAGGTCCGCGCGGATTTTTTTGGATCGGCCCTGGACTGCGGGGACAGCAAGCGAACACCAACCACATCGAGAACACACCCTGAGGCACGTCTTGCGCATGCAAGGGATCATCGGAACACCGAAACCAGGTTCGTACCGGTTGTGGTCGATGTGGCGCCCCAGGACGGCGGAAGCGACCACAACCACGACGAAGGTGCTCATGTCGAGGTCGGTGGGTTCTCCACCGGGGGTCCCTCCCGAAAAAATCCACCCCGTTGTGGTTGTGGTTCTTTTGGAGGGGCCCTGGGACACACAAATTCGCCGGCCCAACGGGCCAGGGCGTGCTAAGATCTCCGGTAACTGGTTAACAGTATTAACAGTATTTCTAGTTCGCGCGCGCGGGGCGGCCCCTGGGGGTCCCCCGGCGAAAAGTACCCCGACCAACGCCCGGTCGCCGCCCGGTCGCCGCCCGACCGCCGCCCGACCGCCGCCCGACCAAGTCTACTCAGAGATGGTTTTCCTTCTGGGTGCGGCCTCTCAGGCTCCCCAGAGCGCGCTCAGAGTGCCCCAAGAGGCCCCCAAGACTGCCCAAGAGGCCCCCGAGACGCCCAAAGAGCGCTCGAAGACGCCGAAGATGACCCCAAGACGGCCCAAAAGGCCCCCAAGACAGCCCAAGAGGCCTCCAAGACGCCCCAAGAGCCTTCCAAGAGGCCTCCGAAGAGAGCCCCAAGAGGCCAAAATCGTTGATTTTCATTGGTTTTTTCGATGTTTTTTGTGTTCTGGCTTTTTCGGCTTCCGGACGCTCCAAGACGGCCCAAGAGGCCCCCAAGACCGCTCCAAGACGGCCCACGAAGCTCCCAAGACGGCGCCGAAACGACCCAAGAGAGCCCTCAAGACGGCCCAAGTGCCGCCCAAGACGGACCAAGAGGCCCCAAGACGGGCCCAAGAGGGACTCAGGAGGGATACCGAGAACTCAAAAATGGAGCCCTCCGTCCCAGAAGGCGCCCAGGAGGTCCCAAAGAGGCCCCAAGAGGCCTCCAAGAGGCCCCAAGATGTCGCCAAGAGGCCCCAGGAGACTCCCAGGAGGCCCAAAAGAAGCCCCAGAAGGCTTCAAACATGTCTCCCAGGCGCCCCCGAACGGCCTCTCAACAGACCCCAAGAGGCCCCCCAAAGAAGCATCTTGACGACGACTCTATTTCGCCCCATCGAGAGACGACCCCCAGGGAACTGCTTCACCATCAAAACTCCCCACGCAACGCGTCCGAACGACACCCGCCCCCAAGAGCGCAACATGGGCAACGAACACACAGACAAAAACCAGCGATGCCATATCACGGGCCGGCGGAATGAGCGAAGCGATTCAATAAATACACACTAACCAAAAAAATCCCAATGTGTTCCCATATTTTCTGGGTTTTCGTCTTCCCCCCCACTTCCCACATTTTCCCATATTTTCCTGGGGATCGACGATTAATTGTGCCTGTATGTTTTCTCTCCTCCTGATCTTTGTTGTGCACGGAGGCGCTGGACCGCCCTCCCTGACGTTCGGAGCGCGCCAGGGGTGGCGCCGGAGGCATCCCCCGCCACGGCGGCAGTAGGGCTCGAGGAGCGCCGCCCGGGGGGGGCCCCGCGGCGGTCCAAGAAGACTCCGCGCGCCCACCGAGAAGTTATGATTATGCCGCTGCTTTTTTCCGCGGCACAAACGTACTTCTTTGATGCGCGGGTCGAGAGCGCACCTCTTCCGGTCGAAGCTAAGCGGGCGGCGCGGAGCTTGAAGTAGGGAAGGGGGATTGGCACAAACATACACTCGCACTCCGAGGTCAGAGTACTATCGCCACCATTGCCTGGCCCAAACGGTCAAGACAGGAAATCCAGCACCGCATGTGAAACAAGAGAAGGGGGAAGAGAAGGAGGAGGAGGAGGAAGGAGGAAGAGTGGGGACCAGCGTAAACCCAAGAGCCATCAACGATGTTGGATTAGACCCTCCCTTCAAGCTCCCTCTTCTTAGTCTTAGGCCCCTACAAAGATTCATTTCCATTGGGGGAAATGCCCCGTTGGGAGACAACCGTCTGAAAATACCGAGCGTGCCAAAACACCATTCTCATGGCTTCAACGCCACGCCTTAATCTGATTGTTACATCTTGACAGTACTGAATCCTGCCAGATCACCATTCGTGGGACTTCAACACCGCGAATCAACGTGACCGTTGCGCCCTGACAACCCTAAATCGTTCCAAAATACCGCTTCTGGCACGTTAACCATGAAAATCCGTGAAACTCTTGCACATGTTGAAAACGGATGTGCACGGCGCCGAGGCGAGAGCCACATTTTGAGAAGGAACCGCCCTCAATCGGCAAATTCTACAAATTGTTCCAACGAATGTGAGCGGCGCTAAGGCGAGAACCGCATTTTGGAAAGGAACCGCTCTGCATCCCTGAAACTCTTGCGTTTTGTTTAACGAATGCGCGCGGCGCTGAGGCAAGAGCCACATGTTGGAAACCAACTGCCCTCAATCAGCGAAATGATTGCAAATGTTTGAAATGAATGTGCGCGGCGCTGGGGCGAGAGCCACAGTTTCTAAGCCACCCGCCCTCCATCTGCAAAAGTGCTGCCAGTGTTTGAACACCTGGCTCATACATGGTAAGGAAGTCTCAGGCGAGACGCCCGGCCCACCCTTCGGACTGGCCTCGGGGTGCCACAGTGACAAGATCTGATAAGGAAAAGGAATGGAGGAGGGAAGAGGAGAGAGGAGGAGGAGGGAGGCCGGGGAGGGAGGCTGGGGAGGGAGGTGGGAGGAGGGAAAGAAGTAGGAGAAGAAGGGAAGAGGGAGGAGGAGAAGGAGGAGGGAGGACGAGGAGGAGGAGGAGGAGGAGGAGGAGGAGGAGGGAGGAGGGAGGAGGAGAAGAAGGGCGAGGAGAGGAGGAGGAGGAGGAGGAGGAGGTAGGATGAGGAGGAGGAGGAGGAGAAGGAGGAGGAGGAGGAGGGGGGTGGAGGAGGAGGGAAGCGGTGGAGGAGAAGGAGGGAGGGAAGAGGAGGGAGGAGGAGGAAAGGGAAGAGGAGGAGGAGGAGGAGGAGGAGGAGGAGGAGGAGGAAGAGAGGAGGAGGGAGGGAGGAGGGAGGAGAAGAAGGAAAGAGAAGGAGAACGAGGAGGAGGAGGAGGAGGCGGAGGAAGAGACGAGGAGGAGACGAGGAGGAAGAGGAGGAGGAGGAGGAGAAAGAGGATGAGGAGGAGGAGGAGGAGGAGGAGGAGGAGGAGGAAAAAAGTAGGAGGAGACCGGAGGGGGAGGGAAGAGGAGGGAGGAGGGAGGAGGGAGGAGAGGGAGAGGGAGGAGGAGGGAGGAGGGAGGAGGAGGAGCAGGGAGGAGAGAGGAGGAAGGACGGAGGAGGAGGGAGGAGGGAGGGAGGGGGAGGAGGGAGGAGGAAGGAGGGAGGATGGAGAAGGGAGGAGGGAGGGAGGAGGGAGGGGAGGAGAGGAGAGGAGGAGGAGAGGAGGAGGAGAGGAGGAGGAGGAGGAGGAGGAGGATGGAGGAGGGAGGAGGGAGGGGAGGAGGAGGAGGAGGAGGAGGAGGAGGAGGGAGGAGGAGGAGCAGGAGGGAGGAGGAAGTAGGGAGGAGGGAGGAGGAGGGGGGAGAAGGGAGGAGGGAGGGGGAGGAGGAGGAGGAGGAGGAGGAGGAGGAGGAGGAGGAGGAGGAGGAGGAGGAGGAGAGAGCAGCAGCAGCAGCAGCAGCAGCAGCAGCAGTGCAGGGAGGAGGGAGGAGGGAAGGCGGGAGGAGGGAGGAGGGAGGAGGGAGGAGGGAGGGGGAGGAGGAAGGAGGGAGGGGGAGGGGGAGGAGGAGGAGGAGAAGGAGGAGGAGGAGGAGGAGGAGGAGGAGGAGGAGCAGCAGCAGCAGCAGCAGCAGCAGCAGCAGCAGCAGCAGCAGCAGTGCAGGAGGAGGGAGGAGGGAAGGAGGGGGATAGTCGATCTTGGCACGTGCAGTCGGTCGTGGGCCCGCGCGGCCGGGCAGCGAGGCGCGGCGGGGGCCTGCAGAGGCAGGAGCAGGGCCTCTGCCCAGCCCGCAGCAGCAGCGCCTAGGCGCGCAGGGGGGCCGCGGGGAGACGCATGGGGGGCCGCGGGGAGCCGCATGGGGAGGGAACGTCGTACGGTTTGCGTCGGAGCGTCTTGGGGAACGCCTCAGGGTACGTCCTACGGATGGCGCTGGAACGTCTTAGGGAACGTCTTGCGGTTTGCGTTGGAGCGTCTTGGGGAACGCCTCAGGGAACGTCCTACGGTTGGCGCTGGAACGTCTTGGGGAACGTCTTGCGGCTGGCGCTGGAACGTCTTGGGGACCGCCTCGGGGAGCTTCCTGGAGACCATCTTGGGGGCACTCTGCAGTGGCGCTGGCACGGCCTGGGGAGCGTCTTGCTGTTGGCGTTGGAGAGATACCGTGCAGCCTCGACCTCCGAAGATCGGGGATGGACAGACCCCCCTTTAGTAAAACGTGGTTTAGTGAAAACGACCTGAGGCCCAAACCTGGCGGGCGCAAGCCTGGAAAATAACGGCCACGGCGCCCTCTCGAGAACCGAAAACGGACAATTCACTAATCGACGTGTCACTGTTGGGGGTTCTGTCCACCCCCGAGAAGAACACGCCATCCCTGCGAGGCGATCCCCCCGCAGAGGACCCCTCCTGTGCACGCCATCCCCCTGCCGGGGCGCCTCCGGTGCACGCTACATGCCCAAAGCGAGGGGCAGAGCGTGAAATATAAGCGGGCCGGCGGCGCCACATGGCACGCCGCCTGTCCAACACCAAGCGCAAGACGAAGCCAGGGCAGTGACAAAAATGGTCCAGGACAGAGTGGGGATCTCTGATACACCTTGCGAAATGCTCAAGAAATCATGGGTTAAGAAATTCATAGTCTCAGACCTTGAATAAATGTCCAAAATTCATATCAAAACCTTAGGATTTACATTGAAACATTAAGAATAGTCGAGACTCTGGCCGAAAACTTGGGTTTTCTTAAGCATCGCCTAGGGTGTATCCCGCAGTTCTGGAGGATGTATCGGGCGGCGCGTCCAGAAAGCTCTGAGAGCGTTCTGGCAGGCTCCGGAAAAATGGAGCCTGGTCATGCCCCCCCCCCCCCCGATACTCCGCCTCCGACGCTGCCCTCCTCCCACGGTGCCGTGCCCAGACGCGCCCGGCGGGGCACCAGGCAGCACCCTGCTCGACGGACTCACCGGACCCCGTCATGCCGTGACAGAAGAACCCGCGACGGCAGGTTCGGGGCTGCTCTCGGCCGCGGGAGGGGGACCCCGCCAGGCCCTCAGGGGCCGTCAAGGAACAGTTTTTTGGTCTGCGGGTCGAGAGCGCGCCTCTTCCGGTTAAGAACTAGGCGGGCCGCGCAAAGCACTAATTGGGGAGACAGAGCACAGGCGGGCGGGGCCTCAGGCGGCACGAGGGCGCGGAGTGCAGGCGGTGCAGGCGGTGCTCGGGATGAATAAACCCGATCCCCGTCGTCGTGTCCCACTCGGCGATCGGGGGACCCCAGCGGGCCCGCCCGCGCCCGAGGTCACTCCGCCGAAGGGTCCCCCCTTGCGCCACGTGAAGCCAGTCTTGGGACGTGTGTCGGGTCGCGTCCAAGAGGGGGGCGTCCAGGAAGGGGGTTCACAAACCGCGGCCCGAGGCATGTGCGCGGACGAGGGAGGGGACCTGCGGACGCACGTATCAAAACAAGGATCGGGGGCCATGAAATCTGGGAAGCACTCATGGCCCTGGCCATGATGTTCACCCCCCCTGTACAGAAGGACCTAGGCCAGAGGAACATCGTTCAAGAACGTGAGACCCTCCGTCGGCAAAAACGAGCAGAACATCTAAAGGTACCCTCCCCAGGATGCACATGAACATCCAACAAGCACGAAGAACGCTAGGGTACCGTCCCCGAACCGGCCTCGATCTTATACCTCGGTCCGACGGCCGCCCACGAATTGAGGGGCAACGATATGGAGGGACTGGCATAGGGGGGGAGGCATCGACCGGGAATCGGCGATACATCGCCTGTAGATCGGCGACAGGCCTTCGATAGTGAATCCGCACCTTCATGGGCAGGTTGGGGCGATCGGGCCCCTATTGGCGATCAGTGGGCGATTGGGTGTTGATGCATCCCCCCCTATGCGTCTCCCCCCCCTATCAAGCCCACAAAGAACGTACGCACCCAGCTATGTACATGAACACGGCCCATCGATCCGCAAAACTGGCCGCGTTATACGAACATTTGCGCAATGCGTACTCTCGAAACCAGCGTGGATTCATGTACGTGTACGTCCTTCTTTCGCTGCTGACTGTCGCTGCCCCTGGCGAACGCAGCCAAGAAGGAAATGCCTGCCACTGGGTATGGGCCGAGGCCTCCGGGGGGTCCGCGATGTGAAGCACTCACGGCCCGCCCTTCTCCGGGCCCGCCCCACGCCCCCCCCCGCGCGCCAGCACGACGACGAGTACAGGGACGAGGGAGGAGGAGGAGGAGGAGGAGGAGGAGGAGGAGGAGGAGGGGGAGGAGGAGGAGGAGGAGGAGGAGGAGGAGGAGGAGGAGGAGGAGGAGGAGGCGGAGGAGGAGGAGGAGGAGGAAGAAGAGACGAGAGAGGGGAGGCCCTCTCGTGAGGTCTGGTTTTCCGTCTTCGAGAAAAGGCACTTGTGCTGCTTGCGCCATGCGCAGGTCACACCCGGCCGCGCGGACGAGGCTGCCCCTGGAGGGCGTCCTCCTCCTCTTCAGGAAAAGAGACCAGTGGCCGATCGGGAAACCCTTCGGCAGTCGACGGACGATCCCTCTCCCGGTCTCCCCCCCCGTCTGGTCCGACCCGAAAGTGAGCGTTCTTTTACTCGGCGGTTCGACATCGGGCGGCCAGGGGAGGGGGGAAGGGGGGGGGGTCTGGCTGCGGACCTCTGCTTAGTGCAACTGTTTGCAGCCGTGCGTGCATTACGGGGGAGGCTCCACCTGCTCGACACGGGCGCCACAAGCAGCCAAGATCTACTCCATGAGGGGGGGGAGGGGAAGACACGAGGGCCCGCGCCGATCGGCGCAACGATGAATAAGGAAAAACGATCACCAGAGGGGGAGATGGTCGATGAGGAGGGGCTGGCCCAGAGAGCGGGTGTGAAGGGGCCCTGGGACACACAAACAAATACACACAAATAAAATGATTCACCATATTTTCCTATGTTTTCTGGGTTTCTGTCTTCCCCCCCACTGCCCATATTCTCACATATTTTCTGGGGAATCGACGATTAATTGTGTCTGTGTTTTTGTTCCCTCCTGAGGGTGGGGGGCATCGACCCTGGAGTCGACGATGCATCGCCGACGGGTCGGCCGGAGGCCCCCGCGGGCGACGCCTCGCGCTCCTGGGCGCGGCGGGGCGCCCAGGCCCCGCTCGGCGGAGAGTGGGCGCGTGGGGGGGGCGATGCGTCGCCCCCCCCCCCCTGGGACCAGTCCTCGCCTCCTGGCCTTCGCGTCGAGGCTCTGGAGGCCTCCTGATCAGACGGGGTCGGAGCAGCTGGGGTCGGAGGATCGCGCGGCCTCGGCGATGCACCGGCGAGGCACCGGCGGCGCATCGGCGACGCCGGCGAGGCATCGGCATCGCCGACGTGAAGCAAATCGGGCCCCACATCGAGCCGCATCGCCAACGCATTCTGCGCTGCGGGGCGAAGCTTCGACCCCGTCTGCTCGGGCCCCGTCCAGGAGGCCCGGACCACTCCCCCCGAGCGATCCTCGCCTTCTGGCTCTCTCGCGTCGAGGCCCGGGTCTCGGGCGGCCGCTCGGGAGGACCCAGGCACCCCCAGGCGTCCCTCTGCGGGGACCAGCTGGAGGCCCCCCCGAGGCTGGAGAGCCGCCGAAGGCCCACGAAAACTCTTCAAAAACCTCGAACTGCGAGCCGCCACCGTCCCCAGGGAGCCCACGAAGCACGTGCGCGCACAGCCGCGTACACGAATACGACCCCCTGGTCCGCGAGGTCACCTCGCGTTGCGCACGCTCGCGCAACGCAGTCTTTCAAAACACACACGGATGCATGTACATGTACGTTTTTGTTCCTCGCTCGTGAGTCCCTCCCCCCCCATGCCCCCATGGCCTGGCGGCGAGCCCGGGGAAAAAGTGAGAAGGGGCGGGCCTTCTCAGAAGACTCGGAAGTCCTCCAGCCTTCCAGGAAGCTGTCCCAGTCTCCCCCCAAAGACACGAGAAAACCTTCTCGGAAGGCGCGAGGGCTTCGGAGAAGCCCCACCGCCTCCTGGGAGGGCCCCTTCTCCTCCTATACCCGACTGGCCCACTGGCAGGCTGGGCACCCGGCAGGGGGCCACGACCCGGCGCGCCGATCGCGGCAGGCGCGACAGGATCGCGGCGGCCAGTCTGCGACGCCGCCGGCCTCGGGGACGACTGACCTGCAGGGTCAGTCCGGCTCTGGCAGGGTCCCGCAGGGTCCTGCGGGATCCTGCGCGCTGGCCGGGGGTCGATGCAGCCCTGCCGTTGCAGGCTGCAAGATGCGGCGCTCTGGCTGAGCCCCGGTTGCATTGACCCCCGTCCCAGGGCTCCCGGCGGCCTCTGGGGGTCCGCTTCCCGACCGTTTAAATACAGACGGTTCAGGATGGAACGCTGGCCCCAGAGAAGGGATCGAAATCACCGAGGGGCAACGTCGGGAGACAACAGGCGACGCCGAGATCCAGGATCGATAACCGATGTTCGAGGATCGAGATCCGTTTGCTGCGCTGTCTGGTTCCCGAGAAGGCTATCGTCACCACAGCTAGATTCCCGTGGAGGGGGCGGAGGAGGAGAAGGAGAAGCAGCAGAAGGAGCAGGAGCAGCAGGGGCAGGAGGGTCCCCCCTTTCCCTCCCATCCCCATTTCTCTGTTCGGCCTTCATTTGTGCACTCGACCCTCATACATGGTTACTGCAACTTTGCGCAACGTGACATATGATGATCGTTTCCCGCACACGTCTCCAAACCCAACTGTTCGCAGAGTTCTAAGCCAACTGAGTTCAGAATATCTCCAGCAACCGAAGTGGAGCGCCGATCGACTGCTCTGGCACCAAGATGGGCGGCAGCGTGCCGGGAACGCAACGGATGGCGTTCGGCCGCCACGGATCGCGAGATGGCGACCGAAACGCACATGCGAACCGTACCGCTTGGCACGGGGCGCCGTCGAAAAAGGCCTGGGAGAAGGCAGCATTTGAAGGGACCCTGGGACACAGAAATCAATACACACAAATAACAGGATACCCCAGGTTTTCCCGAATGTTCTGGGTTCTTGTCTTCCCCCCCACTTCCCATACTTTCCTATATTTTCCTGGGAATGGACGATGAATTGTGTCTGTGTGATTTCGTTCCCTCCTGAGCAATACCCATCCATCGTGTCAGTGGGAACGTGGGCACGGTCCTCGACACTGGCGGGCAGCAGAGGGCGGCCAGGAAGACGGAAGAGGGGGGGAGGGGTGGCGCACCGTGGCCCGAGGCATGTGCGCGGGCACGGAGTGGCCAGGGATGGAGGGGGAGGAGGAGAGGGAGGAGGAGGAGGAGGAGAGGGAGGAGGAGGAGGAGGAGGAGGAGGAGGAGGAGGAGGAGGAGGAGGAGGAGAACGTGCCGAAAGAGACACGGGGGGGGGCCATGAAGTCTGGGAGACGTCCTGTCCCCAGCCACGACTGAAAAAGATGCCCAGTCCTGGACTACACGTCTGCCTGCTGAGCGTTGAATTAGGTCGGGCATGTCCCCCTACAGGATTTTGGACGAAAACTACAAACAATCAAAAAATGCCCGCAAAGCTGCCCAAAAATACCTAAAAACGTCGTCCCCGGACTATTTTCGACTATTTTTGAATATCCCTCCTGTAAAGGGACAGGCCCGACTTAAGCGTTGAAGATGGAGATGGGGAGACGGGGGTGGAGATGGAGACGGAGATGGGGACGGGCAAGAGCATGCTCGCAGCGAGGCGGGCGGACGGGCAGGCAGGGACAGAGGGGAGAGGGGACAGAGAGAGAGAAGGAGACCGAGCAAAAAGAGAGAGGGAGAGAGAGAGAAACAGAGAAGGAGAGAGTGAGAGAGGGAGACGGATGAGAAAAAACGAAAAACCAAAATTATCCCGGCAAAGCAACCTAACAGCGATGTGTAGGAGCATGTCTGGAAGCATTCCCCTTAAGATTCAGATGAGAACCCAGTTGTAGAATTCTGCTGTTCTCGCAGTCGTAATCGCATTCGCGATGGCAGTCGCAGTGGCAACGGCAGTCGCAGTCACAGCCTCAGCCTCAGGCTGCATCAGCCTCAGCCTCAGCCTGCCTCAGCCTCAGCCTGCCTCAGCCTCAGCCTCAGCCTGCTTCAGCCTCAGCATCAGTCTGCCTTCAGCCTCGGCCTCAGCCTCAGCCTGCCTCAGCCTCACCCTGCATGAGCCTCAGCCTCAGCCTCAGCCTGCCTCAGCATCAGCCTGCCTCAGCCTCAGCCTCAGCCTGCCTCTGCCTCAGCCTCAGCCTGCTTCAGCCTCAGCCTCAGTCTGCCGTCAGCCTCGGCCTCAGCCTCAGCCTGCCTCAGCCTCAGCCTGCATCAGCCTCAGCCTCAGCCTCAGCCTGCCTCAGCATCAGCCTGCAGCCTCATCAGCCTGCCTCAGCCTCAGCCTCAGCCTGCTTCAGCCTCAGCCTCAGTCTGCCTTCAGCCTCGGCCTCAGCCTCAGCCTGCCTCAGCCTCAGCCTGCATCAGCCTCAGCCTCAGCCTCAGCCTGCCTCAGCCTCAGCCTCAGCCTGCTTCAGCCTCAGCCTCAGTCTGCCTTCAGCCTCGGCCTCAGCCTCAGCCTGCCTCAGCCTCAGCCTGCATCAGCCTCAGCCTCAGCCTCAGCCTGCCTCAGCATCAGCCTGCCTCAGCCTCAGCCTCAGCCTGCCTCAGCCTCAGCCTCAGCCTGCTTCAGCCTCAGCCTCAGTCTGCCTGCAGCCTCGGCCTCGCAAAGGTGTGCAGTAGGCGCTGCGCAGTTCCTTTGAAAGGAAATCTTCGAAAGCAGGACTGTAGCCAAGAAGGCTACGGGGACGATGATGATGATGAAGATGATGAGTCTTGGTGGAAGTCTGGGAAGTGGAAGAGGACGAAGTGGCGTACAGTTGGCTCCGGGCATTCAGAATGTGGCCCGGGAGTGGAGTTCTGGGAAGTGGAAGAGCACGAAGTGGCCTACAGTTGGCTCCGGGCATTCAAAATATGGCCCGGAAATGGTGTTCTGGGAAGTCCAAGAGCACGAAGTGGCCTACAGTTGGCTCCGGGCATCCAAAATGTGGCCCGGGAATGGAGTTCTGGGAAGTCGAAGAGCACGAAGTGGCCTACAGTTGGCTCCGGGTATCCAAAATGTGGCCCGGGAATGGAGTTCTGGGAAGTCGAAGAGCACGAAATGGCCTACAACTGGCTCCGGGCATCCAAAATGTACGCCGGGAATGGAGTTCTAGCAGCGCCAAGAGCGATTTTGCGAGGATGTCCCAGGCGATTTGGGCTTCGGCGGCAGCCGCCCCGGGTCCCGCCCCGACCCCCCTGAGGAGTCATGATGCTCTCTTTTGACACCACTAGAAACCTATCAGTCTTCGCTGTTAGGTAAAAAAGCCCCAACGCACCACACACACACACACACACAGACACGCACGCACGCACGCACGCACGCACGCACGCACGCACGCGCGCACGCGCGCGCGCGCGCGCGCACACACACACACACACACACACCCAAAAAAAAATGCCGAGAGGAGCCGCGGTCCTGGCGCGCCTGCGCGAGTTCTCGGTCCTCGGCGGGGCAGGGCGCCGAGGGCCGGGCGGGCGAGCAGGGCGGACGCACGACGGGGGCGCCACGGCGACCCACGCACCGCTGGCGCCCGCGGCCCAGCGAGTGCCCAGCCAGGCTGGGACTCGGTGGCGAGCGACTGGGAGGGAGGACGAGCAGGAGGGAGGACGAGTAGGAGGAGGAGGAGGAGGAGGAGGAGGAGGAGGAGGAGGAGGAGGAGGAGGAAAGAGAGGAGGAGGAGGAGGAGCAGGAGGAGGAGGAGGAGGAGCAGGAGGAGGAGGAAGAGGAGGAGGAGGAGGAGGAGGAGGAGGAGGAAGAGGATGAGGACAAAGAGGACGAGGAGGAGGACGAGGAGGAGGCCTTCTCGGAAGGCGGCGGGGCTTCGCAGAAGGCCCCGGGCCTTCTGGGAAGTCTTCTGCGTCGTCGGGAAGGGTTTCGAAGAACGGCTCGGAAGGCCGGAGTCTGGAGGAGCCTTCCGAGAAGGGCCCCCCTCTCACTTCCCCCCTGGACGCGCTGCCGACTCTGGCGTCCGCGACCGGGTGAGGACCCAGCCAGGCTGGGACGCAGACGGACATACCAGTATACGACGTGTCCTCCTTGGAGGCGTGCGTCCGACTGGATCATATAGCACAACAAAATTATAGCATATCGTGTCCCGAGCGTTATGGCTAGAAAGCGCCCGTCGCGGAACTGACACTTTAAGATTTGCGAGGGTGCGCGTCGACCTTGCGCGGCTGGCGCACCTAAGTATGGTAAAGTATGTTTGGGTGGTGCCGACCTGCGCCCCAGTGAGCACAGGGTGACCACAACAAAGGGACGTAGCAGATCCACGAATGACCAGGGCGGCAGCAGATCCACGAACGACCACAACATAATCGCCTGGAGACGTTCCCTGTAGGTCCTGGGGCCCGAATACGACCTCGAATGCCAAGACTGCGAAAAGCACGCCCACGGTGCTTGGTTTTGCTGGAGACGCCAGGAGGTATAGGCCCGTGATGATGCTCACGGCGCAGCGGCTTCTCGCTCCACCATCTGTCAAGGCCTCCTCGCCTTCAGCAGGCCATCAAGAACATAAAAACAGCCAGCGCAGCGCCGGTCTCCGAGGCCATTGGCTGGGTGCCACCGACGCAGCCCGAGCCCTGGCCTGACCAATCGGCAGTGGAGTGGCTGCCCCGAGGCCACATTGAGTCAGGTCAATACTCAGGACCCCAAGGCATCACCTGAGAGGACAGGGCTGGCCCGAGCGCCGAGCAGACCGTCTTTCTGATCCGGGGGCGGCCAAGAAGGGGGCGTCCAAGAGGGGGGGGCGCGAAGCATGGCCGGCGGCATGTGCGCGGCCCCAAAGGGGGGCCAGGGACGTAACGAAATGAGAAGAGGAGCCCTGAGACCTGGGGAAATACCATGGCCAACGCCATGATATGATATCCAGCCCCCCCTTAGTCATCACCCCCCTCGTGGCCGCCCCCGATTTCTGCTCCCGATTTGCCACGGGGGCGAAGGCCCCGGAGCACGGAGGGGCCTGCCGCGAGGTTCTCCGCAGCGCGCGGGGCGCACTGCCGCACGAGCACGGCGAGCACCGGCGCGGGGGGTACGCGCCGCCATCGCCAGGAGAACAGCTGCACAAACACAGGGAAGTTAGGTCGGGCGTGTCCCCCGACAGGCGGATTTGGGAGGAAAACTTACACATCCCACCAGCCCTCTGGGCGTAGGTGGTTTAGGGAGTTTCCTCTTCCAACCTCCTTCTTCCCCTTCGGGGAAGGGTTTATCACTGTCCCCTATTAATATACACCCCCTCCCCCAGGCGACTGGGAACCAACCCGAGTCCATGAGGGCCCCCCCCAGCATCCCTTGTAAAAAAACCATACAAAACACACTCTGCCCCCACCATCCCTTGTCAAAACAATACAAACACACACTCCGTTTCCAAACTCGGAAAATTCGCAGCGAACCCGGTGCGGCCTCCCCCCACCATCCCTGACAAAAAACAGTACAGAGTACATTTGGCGGCGGCGGCGGCGGCTGCGGCGGCTGCGGCGGCGGCGGCTGCGGCGGGGGCAGCCGCTGCGGAAGTTGCGGCGGTGGCGGCGGCGGGGGCGGCGGCGGCGGCGGCGAGGGCAGCGGCGGCGGCAGCGACTGCGGCGGCAGCGCTGCGGCGCGGGGGATGTGGCAGCGGGGGCGGCGGCGGCGGCGCGGCGGCGGCGGCGGCGAGCGGCGCGGTGGCGGCGGCGGCGGCGGACAGCGGCGGCGGCGGCGGCGCGGCAGCGGCGGTGGGCGGCGGCGGCGTCGGCGAATTCGCCCCCAGTAGCTACCCATCCAAAGACGACTGCTGCATATGCTGCGGCTCGGGTCAGGCTCGGGTGCTACGTATGTGTTGGGAGGGCGGGTGGGAGTGAGCGAGACGGCTTGCGGGCGGGGAGGGCGCCTTGATCACTGTTCCCTATGTTCCCTAGTACTATACACCCCCTCCCCCTGGCGACTGGGAGCCAACCATGGCCAATGCGGGCCCCCCCCCACCATCCATTGTAAATGATCCCGGCAAAGCAACCTAACAGCGATGTGTAGAAGCATATCTGAAAGCATTCCCCTTAAGATTCAGATGAAATTCCAGTTGTAGAGTTCTGCTGTTCTCGCAGTCGTAGTCGCATTCGCGATGACAGTCGCAGCGGCAACGGCAGTCGCAGTCACAGCCTCAGCCTCAGCCTGCCTCAGCCTCAGCCTCAGCCTGCCTCAGCCTCAGCCTGCCTCAGCCTCAGCCTCAGCCTGCTTCAGCCTCAGCCTCAGTCTGCCTTCAGCCTCGGCCTCAGCCTCAGCCTGCCTCAGCCTCAGCCTGCATCAGCCTCAGCCTCAGCCTCAGCCTGCCTCAGCATCAGCCTGCTTCAGCCTCAGCCTCAGCCTGCCTCAGCCTCAGCCTCAGTCTGCTTCAGCCTCAGCCTCAGTCTGCCTTCAGCCTCGGCCTCAGCCTCAGCCTGCCTCAGCCTCAGCCTGCCTCGGCCGCAGCATCAGCCTGCCTCAGCATTCAAAATGTGGCCCAGGAGTGGAGTTCTGGGAACTAGAAGAACACGAAGTGGCCTACAGTTGGCTCCGGGCATTCAAAATCATGCCCAGGAATGGAGTTCTGGGAACTTGAAGAGCACGAAGTGGCCTACAGTTGGCTCCGGGCATCCAAAATGTGGCCCGGGAATGGAGTTCTGGGAAGTCGAAGAGCACGAAGTGGCCTACAGTTGGCTCCGGGCATCCAAAACGTGGCCCGGGAATGGAGTTCTGGGAAGTCGAAGAGCACGAAGTAGCCTACAGCTGGCCCCGAGCATCCAGAATGTGGCCCGGGAATGGAGTTCTGGGAGCACCAAGAGCGATTTTGCGAGGATGTCCCAAGCGATTTGGGCTTCGGCGGCAGCCGTTCCGGGTCCCGCCCCGACCCCCCTGTGGAGTCATCTGCTGCTCTCTTTTGAGACCACTAGAAACCTATCAGCAAAAGCTGTTAGGCAAAAACAATATATTATCCCGGCAAAGCAACCTAACAGCGATGTGTAGAAGCATATATGGAAACATTCCCCTTAAGATCCAGATGAGAATCCAGTTGTAGAATTCTCCTGTTCTCGCAGTCGCAGTCGCATTCGCGATGACAGTCGCAGTGGCAACGGCAGTCACAGTCACAGCCTCAGCCCCAGCCTGCCTCAGTATCAGCCTGCCTCAGCCTCAGCCTCAGCCTGCCTCAGCCTCAGCCTCAGCCTGCTTCAGCCTCAGCCTCAGCCACAGCCTGCCTTCAGCCTCGGCCTCAGCCTCAGCTGCCTCAGCTCAGCTGCATCGCGCAGCCTCAGCATCGACCTCAGCCTCAGCCTCAGCTGCTCCGCATTCAGCTGCCTCAGCCTCAGCCTCAGCCTGCCCAGCCTCAGCCTAAGCCTTGCCTCAGCTCAGCCTCAACCTTTTCATCAGCATCACAGCATCCACCTGCCTCAGCCTCAGCCTGCATCAGCCTCAGCCTCAGCCTCAGCCTCAGCCTGCTTCAGCCTCAGCCTCAGTCTGCCTGCAGCCTCGGCCTCAGCCTCAGCCTGCCGCAGCCTCAGCCTGCATCAGCTCAGCCTCAGCCTTAGCCTGCCTCAGCATCAGCCTGCCTCAGCCTAAGCCTCAGCCTGCCGCAGCCTCAGCCTCAACCTCAGCCTGCTTCAGCCTCAGCATCAGTCTGCCTGCAGCCTCGGCCTGCCTCAGCCTCAGCCTGCATCAGCCTCAGCCTCAGCCTGCCTCAGCCTCAGCCTCAGCCACAGCCTGCCTCAGCCTCAGCCTCAGCCTGCCTCAGCGTCTGCCTCACCCTGCCTCATCCTCAGCCTCAGCCTCAGCCTCAGCCTCAGCCTCAGCCTGCCTCAGCCTGCCTCAGCCTCAGCCTGCCTCAGCCTCAGCCTGCCTCAGCCTCAGCCTCAGTCTGCCTCAGTATCAGCTTGCCTAAGCCTCAGCCTCAGCCTGCCTCAGCCTCAGCCTCAGCCTGCTTCAGCTTCAGCCTCAACCTTAGCCTGAGCCTCAACCTTTTCCTCAGCCTCAGCCTCAGCCTGCATCAGCCTCAGCCTCAGCCTCAGACTGCCTCAGCATCAGCGTGCCTCAGCGTCTGCCTCAGCCTGCCTCAGCCTCAGCCTCAGCCTCAACCTCAGCCTCAGCCTCAGCCTGCCTCAGCCTCAGCCTCAGCCTGCCTCAGCAGCAGCCTGCCTCAGCCTCAGTTGGCTACGGGCATTCAAAATGTAGCCCGGGAATGGAGTTCTGGGAACTCGAAGAGCACGAAGTGGCCTACAGTTGGCTCCGGGCATTCAAAATGTGGCCCGGGAATGGAGTTCTGGGAACTCGAAGAGCACGAAGTGGCCTACAGTGGGCTCCGGGCATTCAAAATGTGGCCCGGGAATGGAGTTCTGGGGACTCGAAGACCACGAGGTGGCCTACAGTTGGCTCCGGGCATTCAAAATGTGGCCCGGGAATGGAGTTCTGGGAAGTCGAAGAGCACGAAGTGGCCTACAGTTGGC